GCAACAAGCATACACGGGGAATAACAACCCCTCTCAGGCAGTGAGTGCTCCTTTATACAACATGGGACATTCTCTTTAAAAATGAGATTTATAGATGCCATCTGTCTAGAAAATAACTAAAGCTCAAGATAAAGGAATCCTCTTTTCTATCTTTCTAGGATGAAGTCATTCTAAGAGAAGGGGACTGACACACCGCCAGCTGCAATGGAGCCGATGATGGCAGAGGCAGTACCGGATGAGTGGGATGACAGGGACCCAGCAGGGAGGGGCTGACGTGTCAGATGAACAGGCAGCTGAAGAGGCGGAAGTCAGAGCAAAGAGGTGACAGCCAAAGAAATGAAAGGTGATGCCGATGTTAGAGGCAATGCACTAGTTTGTGCATAGGTCTCTCTTAAGATGGGTCAAAGCCAGAAACACATCCTTTCTTCCTTTATTTCAAGAGGCAGCATCGTTATTTTTTAAAATATATTTTTATTGATTTCAGAGAAGGAGGGAGAGGGAGAGATAGAAACATCAATGATGAGGATCATTAATTGGCTGCCTCCTACATGCCCCCTGCTGGAAATCAAGCCCACAATCGAGGCATGTGCCCTTGCCAAGAATCAAACCTGGAACCCTTCAGTCGGCAGGCCGATGCTCTATCCACTGAGCCAAACCAGCTAGGGCAAGCATCATTCTTTCAGGCATCTAGCTTTAAACTTTATCCCTCTTCCCCAATAAAAGCCATCAACTGCCAATCCTGTGTGGGTCCACTTCTGCAATGCCCTTCACACTGGTCTCCCTCACTTTCTCTGCAGCCTCCTCTGGGTCCTCCTGTCATCTCGTCCTAACCAGGACCAAACCCTCTCGCCTCATCTCCCAGATCCCAGTCTCCTCTAACCCCACTCCATCTTCTCATCTGCCTCCTGGAGCACAACCTAGGAACTGGGAGGTCACAGTTTAATTCCTGGTCAGTGTGGGGCATGCAGGAGGCAGCCGATCAATGATTCCCATCATTGATGTTTCTATTTCTCTCTTCCTCTCCCTTCCTCTCTGAAATCAAGAACAATCGTTTAAAAAAATGAAAGTAAAATGAATTGGGACCTGTTCTTGAATAGAAACATTACAAGTACCCTGTAACGTGACCTGGTTCTCAAAATAACAAATCCACTATCTAGCTTTGAGGGGTGGGGCAGGGGCTGGGAGGTGGGACTATTTATTTATGGATTTATGTATGTATGTATGTATGTATTTATGTATGTATGTATGTATTTATTTTTGAGTCAAGAGACCTGGAACTGAGGTTCTGTTTTGCCATTCCCTAGCTATGGGCCTGGTGCCAGGCAGTTCTTCTCTGAGCATTGCTTCCTCACTTCTGCATGACCTCACAGTGTATGAACCCCACTCCAATGTTTCTCAATCCCCAATTATATGTCATAGCCCCCTAAAAAGCTGACAGAAACTACAGCAGGCCAGGCCCCAACCCAGGTCAACTGAAGCAGAATCCTCCAGTAGCAGGACCCAGTGGGATTAATTATTTATAAAATACCGTTCCTAATGCATAGCCACGGTTGAAAACTACTGTTAGAAACTCATAAATACCCACTAATGGTAGAGCAAGGGGCTTTGGGCTGCTGACTCAATTATCCTTGATTTGTTCAGTTAAGAATTAGTTGGATGCTTTTATAGTTCCATTATGCGTGTGAGCATTTTCCTGTGTCCTACATTGTTGTTTGTGTGCTTAAGTGGTCGTCAATTCTGAGCAAATAATACTCAGCACACTGTGTACACAAAAATGTACCTTACCCCAATTTTTTTTTAAAATAAATCAAAACATCTTCGGGTCCTCTAAAACTTCGCTACCGAGAAGGGTGGTGACAGGACAAGTCACCTGGGATAGATAACCTGAGAGCTTGTAAGAAATGCAAAATCTCAAGTCCAGCTGCAGAATCTGCATATTAACAAAATCTCCAGATGGACAGGTGAAGCAAAGGCAAATTTTTCTCATTCCACACCTGTTCTCCAAAGGGGGGTGGGAGGGCATAGAAAGTCAAGTTCTCTCTCTCATAAACTATTGAAATTTGGGCCTTTATCCAGTTGCTTCTTCACAAAAAAAAGTCCACTGGTAAAAACTAAGTTACAAACACAGATCCTTTCTTTTGAAGGAGACTAGGAAGACTAGTCTTCACAGAGATCCTTTAAATAACCAATTCCTTTAAGAGATTTAAAATATGTTCATGTATAGTCTGGCTGGCATGGCTCAGTGGTTGAGCATCAACCTATGAACCAGGAGGTCATGGTTCAATTCCTGGTCAGGGCACATGCCTGGGTTGTAGGCTGGATCCCCAGTAGGGGGCATGCAGGAGGCAGCCAATCAATGATTCCCTCTCATCACTGATGTGTGTGTGTGTGTTTTTTTCTCTCTGTCTCTCTCCCTCCCTTCCTCTCTGAAATCAATAAAAATATATTTTTAAAAAATGATAATGTATAAAATGAATTGATACCCATTTGTTTCATGCAGTTCATAAATAACAAGTATTTGTGTACCTTACTGAACTTAAGGTTCCCAAGACCCAAGTTCCAAAATTATGAAGGAGGGATGCTTAGCCAATGCAGTGAACTATTGACGCATGCCCTGGATAACTATGATGTTAGCAGTTCCCATTTAAAACTGTGCAGCCCACCTATAGTCAAGGAGTTGTAGCAAATTCTAAGCCTCATCTAGACCAACTCCCTTGCTTGATGGGGAGGAAAGACCCCAGTCAAGGGTTAAAAGGAGTTTCCCACGGTCCCAGAGCACTGGAGGCAGAACCAAGCTCAGAATGCAGGCCCTGACTCCTAGTCGTACACTCCCTCCTCCGCCTCTGCCATACCTCCCAACCCACGGCCTTGAACTCTCATTCTCAGAAGCTGCTGACCAGCCTTACCTGTCACTTCCCTTCTGCCAGCTACTGCTGTGCCAAGCTCTCAGGGCTGTTTTTAACACTAGGCCACAGGAGAAGCCATTTCACAGCCCAACCAAAATATCCATTTATCAATCCATCTTTCCAAATAAGTTGATAATGGATTCTTAAAAGCCTGATGCTAACTGTGCAATGTAAACTCTATAGTATTACTACCATGTTTCCCCGAAAATAAGACATCCTCCGAAAATAAGACCTAGCGCATGGAAAGATAAGACATCCCCTGAAAATGAGACCTAGCGGAACTTTGGGAGACAAAATTAATATAAGACTCTGTCTTATTTTCGGGGAAACAGGGTATTAGCTAGCAACAGAAGCACGCTGAGGGAAGAGTCCTTAGGCGGCTTAAGATTAGAAACAAGGGCAACCATTAACTCAATAGCACAATGTAGGGAGGAAGCTACAGAGGGAAGGCCAAACCGGGCACACAGTGGGGAGGCAGCACCTTTAAGAACACACACACACACACACACACACACACACAAAAAAAAAAAAAAAAGAACATACACAGTGTGACTATAAAATTGCAAGTCTTTTCTTTTAATAAAACATGACAAAAGGTAGAATTCTCAACGAAATTTCTCCCTTTGTTGGCGACATTATTTGAACTCCTCTTTGGGGAAAGACCTTAAAAAGTAAAAGTAAAAAAAAAAAAAAAAAAAAAAAAAAAAAGTAGCCGAAACCAGTTTGGCTCAGTAGATAGAACGTCAGCCTGCGGACTGAAAGGTCCCAGGTTCGATTCCGGTCAAGGGCATGTACCTAGGTTGCGGACACAACCCCAATAGGGGTTGCAAGAGGCAGCTGATCGATGATTTTCTCTCTATCCCTCTCTCTTCCTTTCTGTAAAAAATCAGTAAACTATATTAAAAAAAAAAAAAAAAAAAAAAAAAAAAAAAGGAAAAGGAAAAGGCAGTGGAGGAGCCACAGCAGGAAATATCCTTCCACATGTTGGGCTGTTTAAAATCAGAACGTCACCCAGCTGGCATGGCTCCGTGGTTGAGCGTTGACCTACGAACCAGAAGGTCAGGATTCGATTTCTGGGTCATGACATATGCCTGAGTTGCGGGCTTGATCCCCAGTGGGGGCATACGGGAGGCGGCCGATCAATGATTCTCTCTCATCGTTGGGGTTTCTATCTTTCCCTCCCTCTCCCTTCTTTTCTGAAATCAATAAAAATATATTGAGAAATAAAATAAAATCAGAAAGTCCACACTCAGAGGATACGACTGAAAAATGAACCAGGTGCTGCAGGTCTCACAGAGGGAGGTTCCCTAATGACCTCCAGCAGGTCCTGAGTGACAGCTGCACCAGGAGAGACGTGGGGCCTCCTGGGACAGCCACGTCCAATGGGAGGGCATCATTGGGACAGAAAGGTTCTGCTGTCTAGTAAAAGAAGGAAGGAAGGAAGGAAGGAAGGAAGGAAGGAAGGAAGGAAGGAAGGAAGGAAGGAAGGAAGGAAGGAAGGAAGGAAGGAAGGAAGGGGAAGGAAGGAAGGGGAAGGAAGGAAGGAAGGAAGGAAGGAAGGAAGGAAGGAAGGAAGGAAGGAAGGAAGGAAGGGGAAGGAAGGAAGGAAGGAAGGAAGGAAGGAAGGAAGGAAGGAAGGAAGGAAGGAAGGAAGGAAGGAAGGAAGGAAGGAAGGAAGGAAGGGGAAGGAAGGAAGGAAGGAAGGAAGGAAGGAAGGAAGGAAGGAAGGAAGGAAGGAAGGAAGAAAGAAAGAAAGAAATCAGCCACACTCCTTGATAGTCACACTTGCATTGGATATTTTTTAAAAAATACAACACTCACATTTGGTTCTTGCACGAATTCTAATTAGGAGACATTACATTCAGAATGATAGCACTCGTAGTGATCATGTTCTGAAGACTATAACAGCTTCTTCGCCACGGGAGGGGTACAGAGGGGCAGCTGTTCACCTGACCATATTCTTAAATAAGTGACTACTACCACTCTACGTTGCCTAGGTGTAGCTGTTCACAGGTTACTGGCCGCACGTTCACGTTTCAGACTTCCTTGGCCAGTACAGACCAACACCACGAGGGAGCCCTCACCCTCACAGGCTCAGGGTGAATTGGGAAAGGGCCGGTTAAATGAGGAAACAGGCCACTCCTTGGTAAAAGTTTGCAGTTTTCTTTCCCAATACATCTTCTTTTTATTGAGAACTTCCATTTTTATCCTGTGCTCCTCCTCTGCCATCTCACACTCCCGCTCTATCTGCTGGATTTTGGCCACATGCACCTCATTCATTTGTATCAGCTGCAGTTGTAAGATGGACATTTGTTGATGGTGTTCTTCCTCATGCATCTTTTTTAAAGCACCTTCCTGAGAGGTTTTGCTCCTGTAGTTTTTATTGGCTGTTATTCTGACAGCTGAACACGAGGGTTCAGGTTGAGAGGTCCCCTCACACACTGGAAAATGTATGAACTCTTTCTCATCATCGCACAGTTCTCTATTTGAAACAGCAAATGATTCTGAAAAACAGTAGCAGAAAACATATGTTCAAGGATTTTACAGGCAGAGAGTAAATCATCCTATTTCAAAGTCAGGGTCCCCCAGTACAGGATGCATCTGAAACAGCATCTGCTTTGGCTCTGCGTGAATACACGTACCCTTGCCACACCTGATTTTTTTAAAAACCCATTAATCCAAAGCAGGTTTTTTTTTTCTTAAGAAGTAATGATAAGTTGTTTCATCGTGTCATTTCTAGGAACTGCAGACTGTGGGAACAGTGTCAGAGACTGAGCTTAATCAAGAACCGATGATCTTGTTATGTGGATGTACGTTCTAACCTGAAGTGTGGACAATCCAAAAGAGCCACAGCCACAGTACAAGGCCAGCAGTGTGTTTTGAGCTTAAGTTCTCCCCCAGTCTGACCTCCTTTGCTCACTTTCTCATCCAGCCATGAACGCATATTCCAAGTCCACAAGTCATCGCTCTATTTCCTGGGTAGTTATCTCATAAATGTTCCTTCTTGCAAAATGAGCCTCTCCTCCCTGGCTTAGCTTCCTTCGACCTATATCTGGCAGCTACCTGTAACTCTGCCGCCTGAGGGTGAATATTCAGATCCAAAGACCCTGGTCAATGTCCGGCTTAGGTAACCTCTCCTGAGCACTTGGCACACTTTTTGAAATGTTTTCTCCTCTATTAGCTCCTTGAACCATCACCCTCTTCTAAATTTTCTACAGCATCCTCACTGTCTGCTGCTTCTCTAGACTCCTTTTGGGACTCAAGACTCTTGCTCCATCCCACCTCTAACCTTTTAATACGCCCCCGAGGTTCTTCTCTTTGGTGGTTTTCAATCTACCCTAAGTAATGCTTATAGTCTGGTTCTAACCTTCCTTTGTCTTCTTGTCTTCCTCTTCAAAATACCCTGCGCACCCTTCAATTATCACAAACCACGCACATTCTCAAAGGCCATGCTTTGCTTCACTGTTCTGACTCACGGTTCCTCCAACCTGAAGTTGGACGATCTGACCCCCCAACTCACTCCAACACACACTTACTCCATTCTCCCTTTTCCAACCCCCCCACCCCCCAACTTCTACGTCCCTCGAGATCAATGCCACCTGCTCTGAGAACCAGAGCTCTCTCTCCCTTCCCTACACTTACTCCTCTGTTACAGCACTGAACACACACAGGGTGGGGCTAAAGGAGGTTTATGTTGTTCACATGGAAAATAACACCATAATTAATACAAGAATAAAGTCTGTGTTTTGCAGACCCTGTACTAGTATTATTTTGGCACCATGCTTTATTCATGTCTTTTATCACTGAGGCCAATGACTTTACCTGGTACACAGTGGGTATCTGGTTACTGTCTGAAGCCTTGAACAAAAGGGGGGGGAAGCATATGATACAGAACGATGCCATTTTCGGTGGTGCCACGTTGGCACCGCTATTTTTTATAGGGCAGTGACATTAGTGTGAATTAGGGAGTTTCAGTGAGGCAACCACTAACCCATGAAGTCTTCCCAAGGCTTTCTTGGGAAGTTTGACACTTCCAATAATGAGAATTGTCTCCTTGGAGAAAAATACTGTGTATTCACAAGAGTTGATTACATTATTATGACCACTCCGTTATTCCAGAAGATGGGATGCTATGCAAGTTAATGGCTAGTGGGAGAAACCTAACCCATAATAGTCTGTTAGTAAAAGGAAATGGCTACTGTGTAAATAATTTCACTCCAAGGTGTTGGGTAACAAGCATAACTAGTCCCTAATTAAGGTGAAAGAAAAAGGTAAAATTTTTACTTTTGAAAGAGAAGGTTAAAAAGAGTACTTCTAGGTGGCTGGTGTGGCTCATTGGTTGAGTGTTGGCCTATGAACAAGGCAGTCACTAGCAATTTGATTCCCAGTCAGCACACATGCCCGGGTCCGGCCTTGAACCCCAATGGGGAGCGTGCAGGAGGCAGCCAATCACTGATTCTCTCTCCTCATTGATGTTTCTATCTCTCTCTCTCTCTCTCTCACCCTTCTTCTGAAATCCATATATATTTTTTTTAAGGAATATTTCTGTATCATCCGGAGATAATGAAAATGTCTCCCTAGGAATCTTTTCCAAGTCCAATGGCCCTGGCCTCCACCAGATGCCCTTCCCTCATGCTGCCACTGCCTCCGGAGCCTATGTCTGGCAGAGCACTTGTTAAAGCTGAAGATTTAACTAGAATAGTTTGAACAAAGAGACTAGCTTTTATTCATCTTCATGAAGAAGCCAGCACAGGGCCCAATACACTGCTGGGCTCATAAGAATCGTGTGTGGGATGAACTAGCTCCAGCACAGCACAGCTAGGTGGAAAGAGCTGAGGCTCAGGACAAAGCAATGGGACACACTTCACACTAAGAATAGGTCCCTCAGATAAGAGCATCAGCTGTGAAGAGGATTACCTCATCCGTTTCCTTTCTAGTTTTAGATCTGAAAGTACCTTCTTTGAAGACTGGGCACAGATGTTTTTTGGTACCTTTAGCCACTCTTCTCTTTGATTTCATTCCAGAGGATACTCCTGAGTTTATGCCCTCACAATCACTCTTCTCTCCCAATATCTAAATGCTCATTTTTATTGCAACAATTCTAGGCTTTAAGGAGGTGGTGATGATGATGATGATGACAACAATGATGATGACGATGACAGCAGCTACTATTTTGAGGCATTATGCAACTGTTTTACAGGCATTACCTCATTTAATCCTTACAACAACCCAGTGAAGGAGGTATTATTACGGAACATCAAACACAACATCCACAGTGGCTAGTTGAAAGAACCAGGATTCCAATCCAGGTCTTCACCATTCCAAACTCCAAGGTCAACTAGCACAACACCTAGCCTCTCAGTACTTCACGTGCTCAGCTGATCACTTTCTTATCTTAAAATGCAGCCTCCACACTGTATTCACTACAAAATTATTAAGAAATGTAGATGTATATTCCAAATTTTGATCTCCAAATTTTTCTCTAGAGCTGTGAACATGGAAGACAGTATGTTCATGTCTGGGAGCACAGAAATGACTGTGTGTAACAACGATCCTTTTTTTAGTGTAAATGTGTGCTAACATACATATTTTAAAGAAAAAAGAAAGCCAGGCCTCTTGAGAAGACTCTAGCAGGAGTGGGGGCCTAAAACTAGAGAAGCCTGATGAAGTAGTTAATTAACTCTCACACAAATATTAGCTCCCATGAATGGAAGCTAGTGTTCAGATGGGGAGAATCTCTTCTTAATTGGAGAAAAAGACCACCCTGGGAATGGCAAACACACACCATGTAATCTCTCTCCCAGGTAAAACAAAGCCACCCGAAGCAGAAAACAACTCAATCTTGTGCAAAATGGATATGAAGGCCTAAGGGCTTTCCTGGGACCAGAGAACACAGTCAAGGGAGCGTTCTTTCATTTGGGCAACTCGAGTAAATTTAATACCAGCAGGAAAAGCCTACTATGGCAGTAAAAGAATAGGAAGGAAACTGTGCTCAGGCCAAACACCAGCACTTCTCAACAGAACAAAGGAATCAGGACTGGGAGAATCCTATCTAATAAAAGGGTAATATGCAAATTAACCATCACTCCGTCACAAACATGGTGGCGTCCAGTCCTCTCAACCCCACCGAAATCCCCCAGTCCCGGGCAGAGGAGGAAGTGGCCACTAGGAGTGGGCAGTGTGAGCTGCCTGGCAGAATCGCTTGCTTTGTCGCCACAGTGACAAGGCAAGCATTCCAAGCCTGGCCACAAATGGGCCTCTGGGCAGTGGGCACAGAGCGGCCAGGCCCCGCAGAGAGCTACTGGCACACGGATTTGTGCACAGGGCTACTAGTGAATAAATAAAAGGTGATAGATGCACAATATGCAATATTATGCATCAACTAAGAAAACAAATTATCATAGACTGACATGTTGCAAAAACATTATTCTAAGAGGAAAATGTCAAAAAATGGTATCTATAGTACAATCTCTAATCTATTTAAATGAGAAAAAATAAGTGCACAAAAGACCAATGCATGCTTTCAAGAACATGTGAGAGGACACACAATCACATCAGAATGACGAAGGGATAGGAGAAGAGAAGGAAAGCGCTGAATGGTGAGTGAATATATAAGTAACACAAAAAGTGGGCTTTTCCCAGACCAGCGGTGCCGGGGTGCCATGAGTGACAATATAATCCAGTCCCCTATTCTTGAGTTCTCACCCCAGAAGAACAAAGTTGGGTTAAGTAGTGATAATACTGGAATTCAATAAGGAATGTTTTTGTGTTAATTACAGCTTTGAGTGCCCATGTCTGCATTATTCAAATATAGCTATATAATAAATAATGGTCTATGAAATTAACTATAAGTTCTCTTAAAGATATCTAAAAACTATCTGAAATCTTAGTTTGCTTAAATATATTTGACATTTGTCATCCTACCTCCTGACCACTTCCAGCAAATTTTGTGGTTTCCCTAAGTTTGTTCTGCAAACATGTTCCCCAAAGATAATCTCACTTATCTGAACCTGGAAGATAAGTATCAAAGCCAAATTATCAAATATAAATTTACAGAATACAAAGTGTTTTAACATATTTAAGGGGAGAATGTGGGATTTTTGAAAATACATTCTTAAGTGTCAAACTTCCATTTTTAAATGACTGAGTTCAAATACAAATGTACATTCAAGAAAGTCCCATTGACAAGGTACAGTGATCAAGACGACAAAAGTGAAATTATCTCACACACAAAAAATTGTTGGAGGGAGGCCTCTAGTGGAATACTGTAAGGCTCCATCCTGGTTAATAAAGTCCCACAATTCTCTGAGTGCCCAATTCTGCAACAGGTATTCTGCAAAGTGTTAGAGCAGTGCTGTCTTATAGAAATATAAGCTACATATGCGGTTTTAAATTCTCATACCACATTAAAGAAGTAAAAGGAGGTGAAACTAATTATAGTAAAATATTTTAAATCCCACATTTCTAAAATATCATTTCAACATATAATTGATATAAAAATTATTAGTAATAGATTTTACATTCTTTTTTTTATATACTAAGTCTTCAACATACAAGGTGTATATTTATAGCATGTCTCAATTTGGTCTGCACCCATTTCAAGGACTTACTGACCTCCTGTGACTTATAACTATTGTATTGGATAGCACAGTGTAAGGGATAAAGTAAAACACATACATATGCACGCGTGCACATACACACACTCCGTGTGTTAAAATACACGTGATGTAATGAGAGTCATAACCCTGTTGCATATTTTCAACCTTTTCCCCAGAAGGACCCATTAGGAATGATTGACAAGTTTAGCTTTCTTTCTATTTCTTAAAAGTAAATTAAATGTAAAAGGAATTGGGTAACACCAAAGCTGTTGTAATGTATAGAAAGAGTTCAACGACCTTATCTACTTGGGTTAACGGATTACTTTGGACACACTCCCCAACTAATAAAGCACCATAGTTCTGTACCATACTACAAATTTGACCTGGAAACAGGAACAGGTAACATTTGCCTATATATATATTTTTTTTTAATATATATTTTACTGATTTTTTACAGAGAGGAAGGGAGAGAGATAGAGAGCTAGAAACGTCGATGAGAGAGAAACATCGACCGGCTGCCTCTTGCACACCCCCTACTGGGGATGTGCCCGCAACCAATGTATATGCCCTTGACCAGAATCAAACCTGGGACCTTTCAGTCCGCAGACCGACGCTCTACCACTGAGCCAAACGGGTTTCGGCAACATTTGCCTATATTTTAAGAATCACCAGCAAAAAGAGAAGTCTCATATGCCATATATGTACAAACATCCAATTTAATATCAATCTCATTTACAAGTTGGTGTCTAGCAAATATCATGACAGGAAGGACACGGAGAGTCCATACCTATCCCCTTCTTGCTGGAAACCTATAAATTGTGTTTATGAATACATGAATTATATCATTTCCTCCAAAAAGAAAAACACTTATGAACTTTCTAGATCCCACCCTAGAATTTGGAAATGGGGGAATGGGACTGTCCTCTTAGGACCACCCTTGAAATCACTACAGAATAATACAGATCAAAGATGTGCAAAGTGAACTAACAGCAGTCCACACCAGCACCTTCCCAGGTAACATCTCCCAGGGAACATAAACAATTTGAAAAGTAGCCCTGCTATTCACCTCCTTCCCTCCCACCCCAGCACCAGTCCCTTCACTGCCTCCAAGGCCAGCAAGATGGAGAGTAGTTGGCTGAAGCTACAAACATCTCCAAAACAAGGACACTGCCTGTCAGCAGTGGGCTGCATCCCGACAGAAGCAGCAATAAGAAGGGGCCAAACAGAGAGTGGGCAGGTGTCCGCATAAACACTGTTTGCTAGAAGGCACTATGGCTTAGGACTCAAGAATCAAAATCCAGACACAGGGCTCCTGCACTAGAAAATGAGGCATGATGCGCATAACATTAACCACCGTGCTTGCCCAGCTGGCTCCCTGGACTTAACCTTGGTCAGATGATCAGCAAGCAAACTTCTTTTTAAATATATTTTTACTGATTTCAGAGAGGAACGGAGAGGGATGGAACAACCACGATTAGAGAGAATCATTGATCAGCTGCCTCCTACAGGGGAATGAGCTCACAACCAGGCATGTGCCCTTGACCGGAATTGAACCTGGGACCCTTCAGTCTGCAGGCCAATGCTCTATCCACTGAGCCAGTAGGGCAGCAAGCAAACTTTTGATTGCAACTTAAGTTCCCAGGATAATCTGTCTGAGGGATTGGGAGTGCTAATCAAAATGTGTTAATTCAGTTCACTTGGTTATTATCTTTTTCAACCTACATGGATAACACTGTGACTTTTAATTAACTGATCCCTTAGAGTTCAAACTACGTGGGGACACTAATAAGTGAATTTCTCATCCTGCAAGCCACAGATCAGATGTCCCTGTTGCAGTCTTTAGTGCACCTTGTGAACAGCCTTCTGATCGTCCCGGAAATTATTAAGTGTGTCTTGTGCAAAGTACAATGAACTTTCATATAAACTAGCCATTCTTATCTTAAAAGAGGCATTATTATTGCATTCTCTCTCCCTCTTCTTGCCTGGAGACATTTCAATAGCCCCTTAACTCCAATCTTTTAAAGCTATGACATGCTATCATTACTTCCTTGATTATATGACATCTTTTCCTTCCTGAAGAACTCTATATAACATACTTATCTTTTCAACGAAAGTATATTAAAAAGAAAATAATTTTCCCCAGAATTCCTCAAGTTACCAGAAGTGCACAAACCAAAACTGCATATCACAATATAATACTGGGTGGAAATGCTGTGTGTGTTTTTTAAGCATATATATATATATATTTTTTTTAATATATATTTTTTATTGATTTTAGAGAGGGAGATAGGAACATCTGTGATGAGAGAAAATAATTCATTGGCTGCCTCCTGCAAGTCCCCCACTGGCAATTGAACCCAACAACCTGGGCATGCACCCTTGACTGGAATAGAGCCTGGGAACTTTCAGTTCGCAGGCCGTCGTTCTATCCACTGAGCCAAACCAGCTAGGGTGGAAATGCTGTTTTTTAATCTGGGTGAATGCTAAGTGGGTATTTGCTCTATGAGACTCACAACTTGTATTAAATCTGAAATAGTTCACTCTTTTACTAGTAATGTGGCCTTTTGCATGACTTAATGCAATGCTTTGCACGTCATCGGTCCTCAAGAAACACTTCTTTTGGGGAGGGGAGGGGAGGAGGAAGACTGATTGAATGAAATAAACCTTCGAACAAATCCACTTCATTATATTTGAGACAGGTTAAGATAAGCCACTAAAGTACTTCACTGATGACCACTATATTCATGGAGCCCCTGCGTTTTCCTTATTCTTAAGTAATAGTAGCGATAAGAGAGATAGTACGAGGATATACATAAGCAAGTACTTTTGTGTTTATGTACTATGTGACTTGAATTGGGAAATTCAGGTTTGGTATGCAAGTTTCATTTTTATGTTTTTTTCTAAGACCCCTAGAATTCGGGATTCTAAAATGCACATGGCGGCAGACAGGTCCCCCGTGGGAACGTGCAAGCCGAGCTCAGGCCATACCTTGGGCGGGGGCATCCGGGTGGTACTCGGGCTCTTCCTCGGGAGGGCTCTGCAGGAAGTAGAGCTGCTCAGGCAGCATGCTGGCGATCTTCTCCTTCCCCAGGACGTGGCTGCTCAGCAGCGGGCTGACGCTCCGTTTCACCTTCTCCCTCCTTTCGTGGGCCATAATCTTTTTCGTCCGAGCCTTGATGTTCTCCCAGCACTTCTTCAGCTGCTTGAAATCCCGCAGGGACACGCTGGGCTGGGAGTTGTACTCGTGGGCCAGCGCCTGCCAGGTCCGCTGCTTGAGGGCAATAGTCCGCGCATCACTTTTCTTACATTCCAGCACATACTTGTACTTTTCGACCAACGCAAGCAGGATGCTCTTTTCCAGCTCGGAGAAGTATTTGGCAGGTTTTATGATTTCGTTGTTTTGCATCTTCCACTCTATTGCTCCTGGCCGTCAGCGATCCTGGAAAGGGAAGTAGGAGGCGATTATTACGAATGCCAGGAATGAAAATGTCAGCAAGTCACTGAAAGCTAATCCCTGCTCTGATCCCCTTGTCCAAAACACAGCACTCCTTTCTTTTCTGCTAATGTTGACCTAGGACAGTGTCAGGAAAACAGAGGTTTACTAGGAGTGGGGTTTTACTTCACAGATGTTCGAGTAGGTCCCGTGGTGGAGGTCTTGGCCATTGTGAGAATATCAGCAGAAAAATACAAGTTGGACATCCTTAATGGATCTTCAATATGGAATTCTAGTCTGTTAATGTATCTGTTCCTGCATCCTGTGAGGACACTCATTATTTCCGAATTGAGAATGTTAGGCAGCTTTTCAACTAGACAGCTTTCTCAAAGTTTTTGTCACAGCTGAAGACTGAACCAACGTGTAACCAAATATAAGAGATTTTTAAAAAATATATATTTTATTGATTTTTTACAGAGAGGAAGAGAGAGGGATAGAGAGTTAGAAGCATCAATGAGAAAGAATCATCCATCAACTGCCTCCTGCACACCCCCCATTGGGGATGTGCCTGCAACCAAACCACATGCCCCCCAACTGGAATCAAACACGGGACCTTTCAGTCCGCAGGCCGACGCTCTATCCACTGAGCCAAACCAGTTTGGGCAAATATAAGAGATCTTGTAAACACTATCAAGATTTCAGAACCACCAAGAAATCACCCGAAACACCTGACATTTCCATCACTATGTCTATGACCGTGGTGGATACAGCCACGCTCCTAGAGGAACCTCAGGTTCTTTATCTTTAAAATGAGAGCTTGGAGTCTGTGATCCTTGAGGTCTAAAGCCGTGTTTAAAAGTGTACAATCCTATATAAATAATTTATATCATTCTAGAGGTGAAAGGGCCCCGGCACTTAGAGATTGAGCCCAATACCTCTCTTTTCTTTCTTTCTTTTTTCTTTTTTTTCTGGACATTTCATACAAATGGAATCATACAATATGAGGTCTTTTGTGACTGGCTTCTTTCACTTAGCACAGTGATTTTCAACCTTTTTCATTCAGGTTTCTTCTCCCCCAAAGACCCAAAATTAATTTTTTGCCTTCATCAATATTGCTGCTTCCTGTAAATCAGTGTTTCCCCAAACTAAAATTTATTAACACACATCTCCTGCATCTCTTTATTATCATCTCTCTCCACCAAAATGTTTATGACTAATTTTACTTTCTATAGTTTTTATTAAGAAATCAGTAAGTTTACTGGGTGTTCTTAAACAGCTCCCAGAGCAGATTCTGATCTGATCCCCCATCCCTACTACTCTACCCCAAGATGTCAAAATGCCTTCTTTTCCTCATGCACCTATACTTTTTTTTGTGTGTGTTTTTTTAAAATATATTTTTATTGATTTTAGAGAGGAAAGGAAAGGGAGAGATAGAAACATCCATGATGATAGAATCATTGATAGGCTGCTTCCTGCAAGCCCCCACTAGGAATTGAGCTCACAACCCAGGCATGTACCCCTGACTGGAATCAAACACAGGACCCTTCAGTCCGCAGGCTGACGCTCTATCCACTGAGCCAAGCAAGCTAGGGCTTATACTTTTTAAGAATTATGTTATAAGGATTGAGACTCTGATTCATAAATGAAAAAGTTATTGTTCCCTATTGTGTTCTATTATATGTCATGTTATTTATATTTTTATAAATATATGACATATATATATATTTATAAATATTTATATTCCATATATATATATATATATATATATATACACACACACACATTTTTCTTTATTTCTTCAAGATAAGTCCCTAGGGGAGGAATGGTTGCCACAAAAGATGCAAACACTGAAGACTTTGGTTACATCACCATCTGTCCTCCAGAAATGGAGTACCGATTTACATACCTACTATTAACACACGAGCATGTCTGTTTCCACACTTCATTTACTCTTGCTGTTAACATTTTTTAAAAATCGGTGCCAACTGTGGAGGTGAAAAGCATCACTTCATTGATTAATGATATGTGAATTCCAGTTCTGAGGCAAATGAGCCACACTCTGAACAAAGTCCCTGTTATACTTGGTGGAATTCAAACTACAAGCCATTTAATTCTTCCTCACAATGTGTGCAGTATCTCTAGCTGCCACCAGGTGGCGGTGGGCTCATGGCGGGGGGGGGGGGGGGGGAGTCTAAATTCACAAAAGATCTTGCCCTAAGTGCGGCCAGTTGAGTCTCTAATAAACTGTAATAACAGCAGATAACTTTTATTGAACCTTACAAGGTGAGTTAGACCCTACACTAAGTGTTTAATATGCAGTATATCATGTAATCCTCCCCCAAATAGCTCCTGAGAGCATCGTTTGTTACATTATAATCTTTTCTGTTAAAAAAAATAAAATAAAAACAACTTTATTAAAGTACCAGAAGAAATTGTACAACTGCTCTCAAAAACAAACGCTGAGAATTGCCAACACCTGGGGACCATTAATAGCCTGTTAACTAAGCTGTTATTTAATCACTAGCTAAGTAAATCCAGAGTTACCAATTTACTTTGCTTAATTTTGTAGAACAGCAGGCCTCCGGGGGCCACGTGGTTGCAGTCTGCAGGGCTATAAAGGGATTCTGGTGGGAGCCAGTGTACCCCAAAAGCCCCTATGGATTCCCAGCAACCTCGGAAGTAGGCTGTTTATCCCCACGCACCAATTGTATTTCCCAGATCGGAAAAGTGAGGCTCGGTGACTAGCTGGTAGTCACACAAATAGTAAGAAGAAGAACCAGGATTCCAACTCACGTCTTACTCCAAAGTCCTTACCGCCCTCTGCTCTGCTTAGCTTTCTCCTTTCGGACGTAGTGACAACTTCTCGTGCCTTTGCTCAAATTGCATGTCAAATTGCAGAACAATCTAATTGTCATCAGAGAAAGGTCCCGAGGAAGAGCAACTTTAGGGGAAGCTGCGCCTGCTTCTGTCTGGCTCCATTTGGTGGCTCTTCCTCTCCTCCCTCTATCCATCATCTCACCCCTCTGTCTCAAACCTGGGGCCATTAGCCCTCATTCCCACTCCCACCCAGGCGTACCTCTCCCACTCCAACCCAAGCTCTGAAATAATGTCTGCTGTTGATCTGGTAAGAATGGATGTTTGAAAAATAACTGTAGATATAATATGGACCAATTTAAAATGGTCCACCCCTCAAGGGAATGCTGGCATTCTGCTTGAGCATCTGCCTGACGGTCCTAAGTAAACAAGCACTTCCCAAAAGAGATCTCCAGCCGAAGCTTATCCATAGAAACTTCAAGGCTAGAAAGCACCTTCTAGATTACAATTGCTCGGCTAGATTGCAATGTCCACAATGGGTGATAGATGACAACGTAACAGACCTTCCCTGCTGTATCCGCTTTTATGAGAGAGAGAGAGACGGGCCTCACTTGTGCCCCAAATCTGCTCAGTTCATATCATCTTTCCTTTTTCTTTTTCTTTTTCTTTTTTTAAATATATTTTATTGATTTTGTACAGAGAGGAAGGGAGAGAGATAGAGAGCTAGAAACATCAATGAGAGAAAGTCATTGATCAGGTGCCTCTTGCACACCCCCCACTGGGGATATGCCTGCAACCAAGGCACATGCCCTTGACCGGAATCGAACCTGGGGCCCTTCAGTCCCCAAGCCGACGCTCTATCCACTGAGCCAAACCAGTCCTGGCCAGATCATCTTTTCTGTCTGCGTTTCTGCTAAACAGAGTGCCACCCATCCCCACGGGTGGCTATAGTCCAACAAGTCGAATGACCCTCGTACAGTGGGCCTTCAGCAAACATGAAATGAATGACTACATTCTGATATGGGCGTAAAATGGCCCACGAGGCACAAGATGAGTATCACGCATGATAAAACAGTCAGTACACTAAAAGCTGTATTAAAATAAAAAATGGTAAAACAAAATAGCAAAATCCAAATGCAATGGCAGTTCCCTGTGGGCTAGGCAAAGACCCATAGACAGGACGGAATAGAAGAACACAATCCCAATGTGACAAAAGAACAAAGAGGAAAAAATCAGCACAACTCCCAAAACACTAACACTGACTAAGCCACCAGAAGACTGTAATAAGTACATTTAATATCCACCTCATACAAAAATGCATCAAACATTTGTAAACCGCCCCCCCCCCAAAAAAAAATTCATATGTTGAAGCCCTAGCCCCCATCCATGGTGGCTGCATTTGGAGACTGGCCTCTAGTTAAATGAGGTCATAAGGCTGGTTAGTGCTCTTATGAGCAGAGACAACCCAGGGCTCAGAAAGTGGGCATGTGAGCACACAAAGAGGTGCCAGGCCCTCCAAGCCCAAAGAGGTCTCAGAAGAAAGTCTACCTTGCAAGAACCTTGATCATAGTTTCTAGTCTCCAGAATAGTGAGAAATACATTTCTGTGTTTTAAACCACCATTTCTGTGCTATTTTGTTATAGCAGCCCTACCTGAGCAATACCATATCTACTGATATTTTGAAGTCCCAAAATTTGAGCAAAGCCTAGAGAAAGTTGGCCAGATTTTACTTCTACTTCCCTTCCTGGAAAAGGGTGTTCTCTGAAATCAACTTTCAGAATGGGAACCAAGACTAAAGATCTGTGGCATCCAGACCTCGGACAGATGTGAGGTTATTGATTAACTACTGCATATATATATATATATATATATATATATATATATATATGATTTTTTTAGAGATAAAGGGAGAGGCATAGAGAGTTAGAAACATTGATCAGCTGCCTCCTGCACACCCCCTACTGGGGTTGTGCCCGCAACCAAGGTACATACCCTTGACTGGAATCGAACCTGGGACCTTTCAGTCCACAGGTCGACGCTCCATCCACTGAGCCAAACCAGTTAGGGCTGAACTACTGCTTTTAAAGTAAAGTGAATGAATTAAACCAAAAAACTGGATGCAGAAAATCTGGGCTCAAATCCCGATTTTAGCATTCTTC